TACACATCATCAGGATATTCTATGCCTTTCGTTGAACCTATCTGATGAAATTTTGGGATTCGTCAATTGAATTTAAAAGGTCCAGTGGCTCTAAACTTCTTTGGATTAAACAGAGCTGTTCATAAATGTTGAAAAAGCCCACGGCACGCCTTGGATGTCTGGGACGAATATAAATGTGCATTGGATGGGGTCCAAACTCTTCATTAAAACTCACTCTCACGAATGGGAGAGCCCGCTAATGCGATGAAAGGTCCCATAAAGAGATCCCAAGTTCGCCATAAAATGGTGTGGAAAAGTGTAGTATCGGGTGACCACCGCTCTAAGAATCCTTTGAGAGCAAGGAGACATTCCTAGCATTGCAAATTTGGGGATACATTTAGATTGCAGCATAAATCCCACATTTCACAAATAGGGGCAAATGTTGGAAAGAACACATTCAACCAAAAAATCATCATGGGGGATTGCAAATGGGTAGAAATGCCACGGACCACTTAAGGGAATTATTCCCACTTCAGTTTCTTATGCTTCATTCTTATATATATAAGTATTAAAAATTCAGAGCATTCAAACGGTCCCTCAGGAAATGGACGAAGGATTGAGACAGGGATATGAACCCAATTGATTTTGAGTGCCCCTATTCTCGAGAATCTTACCACAGCAGTTTCGAATTCCTGTATAAACCCAAGTCTTCGGAAGCCGTTATGTAAAGGATTGTAGGGGTCCAACTCGATGGGTGACAATAAGCAGTGATAGGTTTGTGCCGAGATTATTTTCGCCGACCAGATTTATCCGAGTGAGCGATCGCGTCTCGTCACGTCGAAATATTCAAGGGTCTTGTCCATCGCTTCCTAAATAAAAATATATATATATATATATATATAAAATAAAATAAAATAAAAAATAAAATCAATAACAATATTACAAGAGCCCTTGGCCAAGGAACTCAATTCATTGGGGGTGATGGACACGTTCACTGCCAAGGGACTCAATCCGTTGGGGTGACAGACACGTCACTCCAAGGACTCCAATCGCGTGTGGTGACGGGACACGTTCACTGCCAAGGACTCAAATCCGTTGGTAGGTGAGGACACGTTCACTGCCCAAGGACTCACTTTGAAGCACGTTCCTCAGCCACGTGGGGTGATGGACACGTTCACTTGCGAAGGACCCAATTGGGTGATGGACACGTTCACCATGCCAAAGACCCAAGACCGTTGGGTGAAGGACACAAACTGAAGGACTGCTGTTGGAGGTGACGGACACAATCACTGCCAGAAACTCAAGCGCTTGGTGACGGACACAAATCACTTGGCAAGAACTCAAGACAGTTTGGGTGGACGGACACAATCACTGCCCAAGAAACTTCAAGCAGTTGGGGTGACGGCACAACACTGCCAAGAACTCAAGCAGTTGAGGTGACGGACACATCACCAAGTTTCAAGCCGTTGGGGTACGGGACACATTCACTGCCAATGGTTTCAAGCCGTGGTGACGGACACCATTCACTTGCCAAGGACTCAAGCCGTTGGGGTGACGGACACATTCACTGCCAATGATCAGCCGTTGGTGTGAAAGGACCACAATCACTGCCAAGAATAAGTCGTTGATGGTGACGGACACAATCACTGCCAAGGTTTTCAAGCCGTTGGGTGACGGGCACATTCCTTGCAAGGATTTAAGCCGTTGCGGATGAAAGGGACTACAATCACTTGCCAAGGATTTCAAGCCATTGTGGGTGAAAGCGACACAATCACTGCCAAGGATTCAAGCCATATGCGGGTGAAAGGACACAATCACTTGCCAAGGATTTCAAGCCACTTATTGCTATTAGGCTAGAAGGGGCTGTCTCACCTGCCAAAACAAACCTCTGACGCCTTGTCTCCTGCAAAAGAGGGGAAAAGGTTGTAAATAAATTGCCAAAAAAGAAAAATCGTAATTCGTACAATAAAATTCACTTGCACGAATCCGAGGGGGCAGGCTTTGATTAGATTAGATTCTAGATTTAAAATTAGATTTAAAAAAAAAAAAAAAGAAGTCTGCGGCTTTGTTAGATTAGATTTAGATTAAATACTTAGATTTAAAAAAAAAAAAAAGTCTATTTATATTTTAGGCTTTTGTATTAGATTACGATTTAGATTAGATTTAAAAAAAAGAAAAAAAAGAAAACAAAAAAAAGAGAAAAAAAACAAAGTGCCAGAATTAGATTTAGATTAGTTTAGAATTCAGATTAACAAAACCAGGCGTTACCTTTAAAAAAAAAAAAGAAAGAGATCTGTGGCTGATTAGATTGATTTAGATTTAAATTAGATTTATAAGAAAATAAAAAAAAGTCTGTTTATATTTTTATGGCTTTGATTAGATTATTAGTATAGATAAAAAAGAAAACAAAAAGAAAACAAAAAAAGAGGGGGAAAAAAAAAACAAGAGTGCCAGATTAGATTTAGATTAGATTAAAATAAAAAAAAAAGTCTATTTATATTTCTGGCTTTAATTAGTTAGATTAGAATTAGATTTAAAAAAAAAAAAAACAGGTTCTGTTAATATATATATTATATTTTAACAAAAATCTGCCTGCTTATAAAAGGTGCAGGAAAAGTCTTTGGGGCTCATGGCTAAAAAATTAAAATAAAATAAAAAAAATAAAAAAAATCCAAGGACATCATATCTTGATCATAACATGACTCCAGCGGCTGAATTTAAAAGTTTTGGTAAACTCCAATGAGGCTTGTCCTATTTAGATAAAGAAAAGTCATCCAATAGTCACGAAAGTATGGTGAAGGAAGTTCAAAAATTTTGGGATAAAAAAAAAATCTGAACTTATCATCATTGACCAGAATCTGCTTCTCTCATTTTATGTCTGTCTCTACAAATGGTTATAGCAATTTAGTGCAGTACACCAGTTCAATCTTGCCCGTCTTGTATTAAAAAAATATAAAACTTTCTCAATTCAAAAAAAAAAAAAAAATGCTAATTAAACAAATATATGCTGTAAAAAGAGAAGCCACAAATAGCGGAATTATACCGGATTTAAAAGGAATTTGAAGGATTTCTTTTGGTGCCTTCCTTTTAAAGTGCAAGAAGAACAGCTTTTGTTTGAAAAAAAAAAAAAAAAAAAAAAAGTTGCTGGAATATTTCGGGAAGAAAAAAAAAATCTGCACTGAAAAAATAATCTGTAGGGAAAAAAGGGCTGCACGGGAAAAAATATCTAAAAAGGTTGAAAATATAAGGAAAAGGTCTTTTGCTTAAGGAAAAGAGGTATGGGTTTCCTAAAATACTTCAAAGAAGCAAGAGTTTATGTAGGATTGATACTGGTAAATACTTATAAAGTAGTTCTTCGTATTAGGATTAGAAATCTTCCAGCCAATCCAACTCCTAAAATATATATACTAGTATATATATTAATATATATATATATGTTGTAAAAAAAAAATCTAAAAATAACAAGTGGCAAGTTTGAAGGCCCACAAAATAAAAAAAAAACAGAGAAAAAAAAAAGAAAAGAATAAGAAGGCCCATTAAAAAAATAGTGGCCTAGAAAAGAAAAGGCCCAATTATAAATGAAAGTCCATGATGGTCTCAGAAAACCATTGATGACCTAGAAAAAATCTGCTGTAAAAAATGGTTGGCAATATGGAGGTCCACAAAAGAAAAGGCCCGATTTAAGCAAATCCTAAATATATATTTATTAAATATATATCTGCTGTAAAAAAAAATTCCTAAAAAATAAAAGTGGCAAGTTGGGAGGCCCACAAAAGAAAAGGGGACCCATTAAAAATGGTGCTAGGAAAATGAAAGTCCATTGGTGGTATCTAAGAAAATCTCATATGATATGGACTTTAGAAAAACAATCTACTGCAAAAAAAAAAAAAAAAAAAAAAAATGGCCAAATGGAGGCCCACAAAGGGAAATGTCCAATTAAATCTTGGGACTTACTCATGACCCTTTAGAAAATAAAAAAAAAAAGGCTTAGGGACGAAGCAAAGAATAATCCCTCCAAAGACCTAGATCATCACATCAAAGTGCCAAATTGTCGTGCTCGCACAGTTAAGAAAATTCACTTGTGCAAGTCCGAGGGCATTTGTCGGGCACATTAATTTTAAACCAAATTTATGTTTAAATTTTAATACAGTCAATCACACACCATAAGGCTACGATAAGATTGTTGTAGGCAATCACTTCCCAAAATGATTTAAACTTGCTCCGTTGAAGATGTTATAAATAAAACACGTCGTTCTTAACGACAGTTATCAAGATGCTCAATGACACGTGGAGCCTACGTAAATGTTGACACCGTAGAGCCATACAGCAAGGACACCCACACGGATGAAACCCCAAGATCAATCCGGTTAATCAGAATAATATTGATTAATCAGATGTGTGCTATTTATTAAAATTCAATAGGACGCTATCATCAATTGAATTCAAAATGAGATGAAGCGTTCCTATCACCTGTATGGCCCTCCTAAATATGAAGACCATCACACAGACGATGTGGATCAGAAATTCAGAAGTGGAAAAGAAGGAGAGAGAGAGAAAGAATTGGAGCAGCTAAACAATTGTTACAACAAAGAAAGAAGAAGAGAAGCCTAGAGAACTGAAGAGCCTACGCTAATGGCGATGAATAGGTAAAGGGTTCCAAACCCAAACTGTATTTTGTATTCGAGGGTTCAAAACCCATAACAATCTCAATAAAAATTTCTTTTTTTTTTAAATTGTCTTTTGTTGTTTATTTTGTTTTTTTATTAATCGGAGGTTTCATTTGTATAAAATGTGTAATTAACGATCTAAAATACAGATCGGAAATAAGAACCTGCTATTCAAATAATCAACACTGTTTAGTCCAAAAACTAAACAGTGGATATTTGTAACATAAATTTTGAAATGTGTTTAAACACTTCATGTTTTAAAATTTGTGTCTACACACACGTCTCCCATTACTTGGGAAAATGATGGAAGTCAGAGACACCGAAGAAACCGAACTAAGCACTATCATTCCACGGCGAATTACACGGGAATAGGCCGGTAATCGGAATTCAGCTTCGTAGGCGAAGCAATACAAGATCAGACTAACAGTGGTGACCCAGATGGCCTTTTGGTATGTTTCGAATGAAGAAACATTTTGTCCTTGAAATTTCAGTTGGATGAAGGCGAGGAGCATCTGAGTGAAGACGGTGAGGATGGCGTGGTGGGAAGTGGGTGGCGGCCGAAGGTGAGGGTGGGAGAGGAAGATGCTCTTCGAGTTCACAAATAAGACGTTGATGTTGTTGTTGTTGTTCATGTCTTGGATTTAAGGCCCTGTTGGGTTGATTATGATCTGCAAAAGATGGATAAGAATGAGTTAGAACACAGTGAGAAATAGGCAAAATCGAATGTATAGAGTATTGAGATAAGAAAGAAGGGAATGGAATGGTTACGAGGCTACCAAGCTTTGATTTTCAATGCTTGAGGCGTTTGTGGCTTTTATACTACTTTGCTAGGAGTTGGCTCAACACATTAAGATCCTCTACACTTTTTTTGTTTTTTTTTGTTTTTTTGGTAATTAAGCCCCCAAAAGAAATTATTCTTTCTTTCCTTTTTCTTGCATTGCCCAACGAAAATGACTGATTCCGGGTGTACTTGCAATCGGTGAAATGCAATCTCTGAAATGAGAACATGAACTCCACCATCAATGAATCTCAAACCTTTATAATAAAAGCAAATGGCTACAATTCAGTGTGGCCTCGACTCGAGCATACCCCATGTGTCCTCATCAGCTCTATACTCTCTGCAATTGTTGACTACACAGTTCCAACAAAACCAAGTGAAGCGCAGCTGCAAACAGCTTCCTCAATGTATAGAAGCATATCAGGTAAATATGGAGGATGACAATTTTTCTTCATTCTATCAAGACTCTCTGAAAGAAACCCAAACTTCATCTCTTTTGCAGACGCTGCAAGATTCTTTGCAGTTCTTGTCACTAGCTCATCTTTTTCTCTCAGAACATGAAGCTTGAAAGCATCTGAATCTCTTGATAAGTCCTCGAAGTAACTTCCAGTCCAATTACCTTGTGGAAGATCAGTCATCACAAAAATATGAATTGGGAGAGGACCTTCGTGTCTTAAAGATTCTATCTTTTGTTGTAAACCCAAAAAAGTAGTCTTCCAGTGGTTCTTGAACTGCCCATCCGACTTGATACTTCCTGTTTGCTTACCCCTCATTGACATAATTTTTGATTGTGCTTTAAAATACGCTAGAGGGTTGATCAGTAACTATGACATAATTGTCCCACTCCGTAATATATATAGTTTCCTTAACCGTCCATTGTATTCAACTTTATCTATTACTATTCCACTATAATTTCTATTCTTTCTTTCTCTATTTGATTGGTTTTGGTTTATGCTCTTCCTCATCCATGACTTCCCCTAAGTTAAAGCTGAAATGTGACAATTTTAATCTGTTTATCAATGGAAATGAAAGGATGGTGCCCATGGTATTGATCCATCATTAATCACTAATTCAGCAGGAATAGGTATCAGTGATACAGTTCAATTCATTTTTGGATAGTAGCATTAACTAACAGCCTTATTTGGGTGGTCAAAACTATACAGAATTAAGACAGATTACATTAATTACAATGGTGTACATAAATTACATTGACTATCTCTCACCAAAGAAGAAAGTAAAATTCAGTTTCCATCAGCATTTGTTTTGTTTTTCCTTTTATATATTTTTGTTGGGTTGGAATTGTTACTTCCAATGATTTACGACTGTTGGTTACCTACCCTGGATGCATGTTGGTCTGAATATTTTCTTCACTGTAAATATATATATATATATATATTTTTAATGTTAGTTTTCGTCAGATATGCATGACAGACGTGTGAAATTTACATGTTAACTGATTTGATCTTGTTCCAGGGTTCGCAATTTCTCCTCTTGGCAATTTTGTTGGGGGATTTTTGGTAGAAGACTTAGAGAGAATACCAGTTAATCTTTTGTGTTGTAGTTTGGAAATAAGGATTGTTCTTGTAGATAAATGGAATCAAAGTGGGTTAAAGTATTGGATAATGGCCATAGAATCATTGTTGACGCAAAGAGAAAACGGGCAGCCCAATGTGCAGCAAATATAATTGAAGCAAGCCACAAGGTGTTGTCAGTTCAGCCCAACCATAATTCATTATTTACGAAGCTTGGCAAGCGGAAAAGACTGGTTGGATGCAAAACCAAATGTGGGGTGCACTTGAGAAAATCGTTACATAAGAACTATTCCAATTTCATGAAAAGTGGACTGCCACAGCGGTTACTGTTTTATCAGAATGGTGACTGGAATGATTTTCCTCGTGATACTGTTGAGTTGGTTAGCAAAGATTTTCAATTGAAAAAAGCAGCAATTGAAGTGCAGTTCAAGGGCTGCCATTTAATGTTTGATATCTTGTACATGATTCAAGTAGATTTGAAGACAGGTTCCCAGAAACCTATAGCTTGGATTGATGAATCAGGTAGCTGCTTTTTTCCTCAATTATACTCTACTGATGGTGGAATACATGAATGCAATCAATCTGAGTTAGAAAAAGATGAATTTCGGTATGCGGAACGAAATGGGGCCCCTGAAATCAAGTTGCATCTTCAAATAGAAGTAAAC